AGATTCTCGGATAAAAAAAAATTATCCTCTGCCAAACGTCCCCCGAAGAGGCGTGGGAACACGAAAGACTTGCTCTCAAGCCATAATAAAGAGCTTATTACAAAATAAGTAGAATATTCGACAGTTTGAGTGTAAGTTAATTTTTTTTCAATACTATTTTATAAGGTAGTTTGTAAAATCAAATTTTCAAATAAAAGAAGAAAAAATTTATTTGATAATCTTATTTTGAAAAGAGTTTTAAAATTTAATGAAAAAAAATAATGTTTGGTAAAATTGTTTTAACTTTTTTTAAAAAAAACCTGTTTGATCGGTGACATTTTTGTTAATTATAGTTTGTGATTTCTTCTAACCAAATCATGCTATACTACAATGTTTAAAAAAAATAAAAGAAATCCAGGGATTCATGTCCGCACTTGCGGACATGGACGACCAAACAGGTCTGCCATTGTGTAGGGATAACATCTTTTAACATTAGTGTCAAAATAAATTAATTTGACCTCAAATATTAACCGTTGATTTCTATTAATATAATAGTTATAATTTATTAAAAATTAATAATTAATTAATAAGTATGACTCAATAAATTAGAATCGTTAGATTCACTAAATCAGTAGTTGTGATTTGATGTCAAATATTTTAGTTTGGCACATGTGACAAAGGATCCTGCCCTATATATTCACAAAATCAACAGTTAGGAATTGATGTCAAATATACAGTTAAAATTTGATGTCAAATATTTTAGTTTGACACCGGTGTCAAAGGATCCTGCTATATATATATATATATATATATATATATATATATATATATATATATAGGGTATATTTTAGTGAATTGTATTTTAAAGAGCAAAGCAAATAATAGGCTATAAATTTTTTTTTGAAATTGATTTAAAATTTCTCTCGCGTATGAAATAGAATTACATTTGAAATTCAATAATACGTTTCTTTTTACAGAAAAATATTTTTGCAGTTATTACAGATAAGTTATCTGCATTTATTACCAAAACGATGTCGTTTTAGGATTGAAATATTAAAAAATTATAATTGTAAAGACTATAATAACTCTGAAATAAATTAAAATTACGAAAACACCATGATTTTCATCTCAAAATAACGTCGTGTTGGACTTACTGCATATAACTTATCTGCAGTAACTGCAGAAAAAACGAACCCTTCTTTTTATGTTTAATGCAATATGGATGTTTTTTTATAAGTATAAAAGCATAATTGATGAAAATAACAATATTGATTATCCAAATGCTTTCATAAAATACAGGTTTTTTTCAATTACAAAATATATTAATGGAAAGAAAAGAATGAATGCACATGTGGTAAGGTTTAAAAAGTTAGCTATTGTCCATAGTCCCAACCAAAACTTTGTTTCTTTTTTATTTTAAGTTGAAAAGTGAAATTGTTTTTAGAATCTTCCTTAGTTTTTTTTTTTTTTGGAGGTTACAAGGAATTGAACACAACACCCTACACTACACACACTCCTAACACACACACCCCACACCACTAGGCTAACCCTAGTGGTAAATCTTCCTTAGTTTCTAGCTTGCTTAAGACCTTCCCCCTTCTTTTGTTTGAATAAGAAGCAAACTTAAAAAAAATGGTTTAGCTTTAAAAAAAAGGGTCAACCGGGTTTCATTTAACCCAACGAGACTCGACTGGGTCAATCGGTTTAAATCGAGTCAAGTGCATGGTCGAACGAAATAGCCACTCGAACCAGTGCCCTCACCAGATCACGAGACTCGGCTCGATCTGAGTTTTAAAACACTGCTTAGAACAGTTTTTGAGAAAAAAATGTGTTTGATAACATATTTTATTTTTATTCTGAGAATGAGAATTGCGTTTGATAACACAATAAATAATAGAATAAAAAATTATTTCCATTAAGCATAATTTTTTTTTGGATCATCACTTTCCTTTTCATATAGTATGGTGGTGGTGGTTGTGGCATGATGGTGTTAATCGTGGCGATGATGGTGGCACGACGGTGGTGGCGTGGCTGTGACGAAAGCGGTTGCAACGACAGTGGTGATACTAGTGGCGGTGATGGTGGTGAAGTGGCGGTAGCAGTGGTAGTTGCGGTGATGGTGGCAATTATGGTGGTTGTATGATGACAATGCGATGATGGTGGCGATGGTCATGTCGAGATGATGGTGGTGGCGGTAATGCCATAATGGTAATGGTATTGGTGGAGAGTGATTGAGAGAGACAAATGTTTTTCATTTTGTGCTTGGGATGAAAAATCAGAATTTTTTTTATTCTTTTTTATATTACCTAACACAAAAATTGAACTGGTTCATTCTCGGAAAAAAAAAATCCGATTTTGTCAAAATCCATTTTTTTCCCAATAATAAAAATTGAAAAAATTTGATTTTGGAAAGATTGTCCTGCATACCCTTATCATGTCTATTTTTATGTCTACTTTATCTATTCCTCCCCAATACTATTAGATCACACTTTCATCCTTTATTTTTCCTAAATAAAATAGACATGAAAAAAGAAAGAAAGCATAATATGCTATTTTTTTTTATAAACTATAATATGCTATTCCTTAATTTATATGATTACTTGATAAAATTAAGATTAAATTATGATTTATCTTTCATTAAGTGACAACAAATCCGTAAAGACACTATTTAATTTTTACTTTGAATTCAAGGAAAAACAACTTTGACTTATCCTTTCTCTCTTCAAATTATGTCTTGTACCTCCTTTCTAATAAAATAAAAATATTAATTATTTCCTGATGAAATAGAAAAAAATTGATACTATTAAATATAAGAGGGGTGTATTGGATTGAGATTTCAAAGTATTTTAATGGATTATTTTCGTAAAAAAAAAATCATTGTTATTCGATTAGGATTTTAAAGGATTGAAAAAAAGTCACGTGGTATTTGATTAGGATTTTAAAAGATTATTTTAGAGTCCATCTAAATCCGTTGGTATTCAATTAGGATTTTAAACAAAGGAAAAATAATCTTGTGGTACTCAAAAATCTGACGATTTTAATGGATTTTCTATTACTGTGGATTTCGTAAGCCTTTTTAGTGAGAAATATAAATAAGATGCCTCTCTTACAATCTCTCCCTAACCCCTAGGATTTCTTGAGATTTCTCTATTGCAGTATTTTTTTCTTCCTTTGATGGGTGGTTGACCCGCTCAAAACCAGGTTCCACTATGGGAGCTTCGTCAAAGCTCAAAAATAGCATATTTTTGAGCGATTTTTATCACAAAACAACACAGAAAAAACAAACCAACAAGATTCTAATATAATCCATCTAAAAAACAACATATTTTTCAGAGCTTTTGGAAGTTTAAAAAATAATTTTTCAAGCTATGGGTCGCGATTTTTCTTGGCACAAAAAGGTATGATTTTGTATTAAAAATAACATAAAACCCTCATACCAATTTTTGTGTTACATCAATGAAACAAGATCAATTTAAAGAAAGATTGAAACTTTCATAATATAAACCCTATATTTCGTAATAATACATTCATGAACGAAATTCCTTCACTATAGAAAATAATTTCAAACAATTTTTGTATCAATAGATAACTAAAAACTTGTTTTTCAAAAGCCCCAAAATAATTTAATGAATACTCAGAAATTCAGGTTTTAATGTATCGATTGAAAATAATTTGAGAAATTTTCTAAACTTTCATATAATAAAACCCAGAAATTCAGATTCAAAATTTTCTTAGAATACTCAATGAAAACATGCATATGATATATTGTTAGAAAACTCTCATCACGTAGAACAAAAATCTTAAGATTTCCAAGATCAATTGCAAAAAATTTCAAACGAAATTTAATCATGAACTTTAGGTTCTATATGTAAATTTAGAATTATTTTAATAAATAAATAAAAATTGAGTCTTATAATAATATATGCATAGCTCTGATACCAAATAAAGAAGATAATTTTTAACTCATTGGTCAAACCCAAAACCATGAACGAAAAAATGCTAATGCTTGAAGGACTAATATAATTTTAGATATGTGGAGAATTGTTGTTAAATAATTTTGAATGTTTGTTACAAATTATATTATATTTTATTGATTGAGAAAATTATATTAGATTTTACTTATTTTATTAATATTATTGTATTTCTTTGTTTTTTTATTGACTCTTATAATTTTGAATGTTTGTTAAAAATTCATATGATTTTTTAAAATCTTATAAACCCATATTGTCCTTTCCATTAAAATCCAATCTTACGAGATATTGATTGTAAAAAATATCTTTTAAAAAAGTCTTTAAAGTCCGTCCAATTCTAAATAGTTTTTTAAAATTCATAGGATTTTTTATTTCAAAAAAGCTTTCAAAATACTAATCCAATACATCGCCTCAAATATAAGTATTTAATATCTTAAAATTTAGAAGGATTTAGTATTTTTAAAAAACCATTGAAGATAAAAACGAAGAATATTTTTTTTTTTTAATTTCGTAACATATGTCTTATGGATGGTTAACAAAATTCAATTTTTATTAATCAATATAAAGGGAAGGATATTGTAACAACCAAGTTGTGTTACTACCAATCAATCTCACCGTTAGATCGATTATGTTGATCCAATGATTATATTTATTTCCATCTTTGTATGGTCATGATTTCTCAAATTTAATATTTTATATTTATTTCCACCTTTGTATGGTTATGATTTCCCATATTTAATGCTTTTACTTTAAATAAGGGAATCATAACCATACAAAGATGGAAATAAATATAACTGTTGGATCAACATAATCGATCTAACGGTGAGATTGATTGGTAGTAACATGGTAGTAACACAACTTGGTTGCTACAATATCCTTCTCCCAGTAAAAATTTCTAATAAATTTTTTTATAACTGCTTATATAAATTAATCTGAAATCTCGCCTTTAAATTTTTCCCTAACAAGGAAAAGGTTTGGGAAAATATTACAAAATTAGTAAAATAGGAGCACTAAATGTAAAATAACTGAAATTTCTGTGGATTAGGGTTAGGGTTTTCTGAAATTACTTTACATATAACAACTGTATTATTAGATACCGTATTTTTGATCGAGCAATCAGCGTGCAGAGGAAAAATGTCGAAGAAGAACAACCTTGCCAAGAGAAAGAAGCAGCACGAATTCGATCTCCGAAGTACTTTCACCTTCTGCAAATATCCCTTCGTTTTCGCCCCCATTCAATTCATGTTCTGATTTTGTTGATGTATATCTTTCAGGAGAGAAGCAAGACAAGGAAAAGCTAGAAAAGAAGCTCCATGCAAAGAAAAACAAGATGAAAGTGAGAGTTTGCATTTAATTTCTCGATTTTCTTGTTTGGAGGGTTTTGTCTGCTGAGGTTTTTATTTATTTATTTGTTTGAAAAATTTGGGAATATATGATTTTGGGTTTCCTATATTTGTCTTCGATTTGAATTTTGATGTTAAAAGTTCTTAACTTTTTGTTTGCTGAGATAGTGGATCAAATTTAAAGTTTAAGCTCTTAATTGTTATTCTTTATTATTAGTTGAAAGCTGAAGTATGTTCAATTGTGCTTCTTTTTGTGTTTTCCAAGGATCAATTGTCTTTTGTATGGTTTTGTTTAACCGGGTTAACGAATTTAGGTTGATGGTGGTGGCAAGAAAAAGAAGGGTGGAAGTGGATTTCAGGTGGGGAAGAGAAAATTGAAGACCAAGTTGACAGCTCTGGCTAAAGCTAAAGCTGCCCAGGCAATGGAACTTGACAAATGAGGTTTGACTTGTGTAATTTTAGGAAACTCGAAATTGATGATGACAGAGTTGTTTTGAGGTTCGATATCCTTTTTCTGTTCAGTTATATGATTATTAGGGTGTGAGCTGTACATTAGGTGATTAATTTTACTGTAGATGTTGTCTCTCTTTTCCAATTTTGTCTCTAATCAACTGTCAACTTTTATCTTTACATCTTGTAATTGAATTGACAAAATTTTACACTTATGTCTTCATTTTGTATTTTGTGGTGCTTGCTAATGTTGCCCATGTATCATGTCTGTATTGTAAATTAGCTGTGGGTGTGAATAGAATTTAGCGTTTTGTTTTAATGATGAGGTACATACTTCTGTGAGCACCGGATGCGGTCCATTGTTAGAGGAACTAGTAAGGTGTAATCAATGCCCATCAACAACACCTTTATCCCAAATTAATTGGGGTTGGTGGTAGATGAACCCACATGAAAGATACAAAACGGTTGTAAAAAAAAAACAGTAATAATATATATATATATATATATATGTGTGTGTGTGTATATAAATATATATATGTGTATATAAATAAATAAAAGTAAAAAAAAGAAAGGGAAAAGAAGAAGAGGGGAAATGAAGGGGAAAAAGACTAAAAAGGGACCATCTGGAACATAGGAATAACAACGGGTCTAACCCTCCACCATACTTATAGCTTTTCTCCATTCCGTTCTAAGACATACCGTCCGCCAATCTATATCCCACTCCATTAAATCTTGTTTTACTACCTTCCCCTAAGTCAGTTTCGGCTTACCTCTGTCTCTTTTTGTGTTGAGCTCTTGGTAACAAACTTCTGTTCTTACAGGAGCATTCAGGGGCCTTCTCATCACGTGCCCAAACCACCTCAATTTATGTTCTCTCATCTTCTCGGCTACTGGTATTACTCCTACCTTTCGTCGAATATCTTCATTTCTTATCTTATCCATCCTTGTATAATCACACATCCACCTTAACATCCTCATCTCTGCTACTCCCATCTTATGCTCATGTTGCCTATGTGCTGGCCAGCATTCCGCTCCATATAGCATTGCCGGTCTTACTGCTGTTTTATAGAATTTTCCTTTTAACTTAAGGGGGATTTTGCGGTCACACAAAAACCCAGATGCACTGCGCCATTTCATCCACCCTGCTCTGATTCTATGATTTACATCCTCATCAATCTCTCCACCTTTTTGCAAAATGGAGCCCAGGTATTTAAAAGCATCTTTTTTGGGTACCTCTTGACCACTTAGATGCACGGGATCTTGGTCCCCATCTCGTACCAGAGAAAACTCACACTTCAGGTACTCCGTCTTGCTTCGACTTAATGTGAACCCTTTAAACTCCAATGTGCTTCTCCACAATTAAAGTTTTCTATTAACACCATCCTTGCTCTCATCAATAAGCACAATATCGTCTGCAAAAAGCATACACCATGGCACTTCCTCTTGAATATCTTTTGTTAGTTCATCCATAATTAAGGCAAAGAGATAAGGACTTAGAGTCGACCCTTGGTGTACACCTACCGTGATAGGAAAATAGCTTGATGTTCCGTTACAAGCTTTTACACATGTAGTAGCCCCATCATACATATTCTTGATTGCCTTTACATACTTTGATGGACCTTTTTCTTCTCCAGAACCCACCATAGAACTTTCCTTGGAACCCTATCATATGCTTTCTCAATGTCTATGAACACTATATGTAAGTCCTTCTTCTTTTCTCGGTATCTTTCCATTAGTTGTCGCATCAAGAAAATGGCTTCCATGGTACATCTTCCTGGCATAAATCCAAATTGATTTACAGAAACCTTGGTATCTCTCCTCAAGCGATGTTCAATAACCCTTTCCCACAACTTCATAGTATGGCTTATTAGCTTAATGCCTCTATAGTTTGAACAATTCTGTATATCTCCCTTGTTTTTGTAGATAGGCACAATCATACTTTTCCTCCATGCATCAGGCATCTTATTTGTCTGGAGAATCTTATTGAAAAGATTGGTCAACCATTTTATTGCCACATCCTCCAGGCCTCTCCACACTTCAATAGGGACACCATCAGGCCCCAAGGCTTTATTAGTCTCCATCCTCTTTAAAGCCTCCTTAACTTCATGTGTATTAATTCTGCGCACAAATCTTCTATTCATATCATCATACGCGTCCTCCAAGTCCACCTCGCTTGTATCTCCATCCCCATTAAACAACTTGTTGAAGTAGTTCAACCATCTTTCATTTACATCTTCATCTCTCACCAAAAGTTTTTGATTTCATCCTTTATGCATCTAACTTGGGTGAGGTCTTTACTTTTCTTATCCCTTATTTTTGCAAGTTTATAAATACCTCTTTCACCATCCTTGCTCCCAAGATTTTTATACAACTTGTCGAAAACCTTGCCTCTAGCTTCTCGCACTGCATTCTTTGCATTTTTTCTCGCCAATCTAAACTTTTGCAAGTTCTCTTCACTGGGACTTTTATGCAAAGATCTAAAGCACTCCTTCTTATGTTTAATTGCCTCTTGCACCTCTCCATTCCACTACCATGTTTCCTTTGTATGATATCTATTTCCTTTGCTTTCTCTCAACACCCTCCTTCCCATATTTCGAATACACTTAGCCATCTCATTCCATACTGCATTTACTCCTCCATCAAACTCCCAAGGTCCTTTGTGCAACATTCTTTCATTGAACTCTCTCTCCTTTCCCTCCTTAAGCTTCCACCACCTTATCCTTGGGTTCTGAGCCATTTTCCTCATTGTAAGTACTTTGTTGAACCGAACATCCAAGACTACCAGCTTATGTTGCGTAGCGACACACTCTCTAGGGTAGACCTTACAGTCGATACAAGAAGTTCTATCTTCTCTTCTACCCGCTTATGTTGTGTAATCAATGCCCATATTTTAGGATATTATTATGTAAGTCTCAATATGAGCATTGTGCGCAGGGACATTTGTTTATTTGTCTTAATTTCAAATCCTTAAGAATGGTAGTAACTGATTGGTCTAGTGAGTATTGTCAACATAAAACTGCTTATATTCTTACCTAGTAATAGATAGTTGGGGCCCTTTTTTTTAGTTTACTGTTATACAAGGCTGAATCTTAGCATTGTGAGCCCAACAATGCTTGCTTAATTGTCTTGATGTTTCGAATTCTTTAGGGTAACATTTTCTGTGTCGGAATCAATATAAAACTGCTTAAACTACTTAAATTCTTTGTTCTGGATTCAGGTGGCTGTATAATCTGTTTGACTGTGTTAAGAATCTTGAGGTCACCACTCCAAAAGCTAGCTCAAAGGATGGGAGTGTCCAAGGCCTTATAAACCTCACATTAGTTGTCCATACAACCAATGTGAGACTATATTTCTCAACATGCCCCCTCACACGAGAGCCCACTGGGCTTGAATGGTGGACAACATACAAGTCCACCTACATGTGAAAATTCCACTACAAAGAAAGTGGAAGGCGGTGAGATTTCGAACGCTCTGATACCATGTAAAGAATTTTGGGATACACCACCCCAAAAGCTAGCTCAAAGGGTGGGAGTGCTCAAGGCTTTATAAACTCCACATTAGTTGCACATACAACTAATGTGGAACTATATATCTCAACACGCCCCCTCACACAAGAGTCCATTGGGCTTGAAGAGTGGATAATGCAACAGACTCAGCCTACCTGTGCTAAGAAATGTCACAAGAGAAAGTGGGGGGCGGCGAAGCTCTGATGTCATGTTAAGAATCTTGAGGTCACTATCCCAAAAGCTAGCTCAAAGGATGGGAGTGCCCAAGGCCTTATAAACCTCACATTAGTTGCCCATACAACCAATGTGAGACTATATTTCTCAAGAGACTGGAAGACAGAGTTATCAACATGAGTGAAATTTACTGGAAAAGGATAATTTTTTTTTGGGGGGGGGGACAATGTGTCCTTTCTTGGGATGCCTGATTTGACAGTGTATTCTGTGTGCCAAAGTAATCAGCTTAGATATTAATGATTGGTAGAATAGATGCGTGATGATTGTAGATATCATCGGAAAACATTCAGATCCGCTGGTCTCCTTAGTTGAGCAATTCCTTTTTGGTTTTTGGAAGCACAGTGATATTCATATTCATATTTATAAATCTGAACTTACGGGTGTTTTCACTTTTCACACGTAAATCAACAGGTTTTGGTGTGTAAACAGATTCTTAAGATAGAACATTTTGTGTGTGAATGTTTCTACTGCTATCCATCATTTTTTTTAATACAAAAAAAAAAAAATGTTAGTGAGCCCAAAACTAAAGAATACTAGCCTTGTGGTGTTGGTCTTGTTCTGTCTCTATGAGGTGTTTGGTAGATGAGAATTTTTTTTTTATCCGAGAATCACGATTTCTATGAATATGATCAGAAAATGAATTTTCTGGAAATATTACCAAAAAGTTGTTTGGTAGGCTAAAATATTTTCGGAAATATTGGGTTAATTTTTTTGATACTATGTTTGGTTGTATTAATTTTCCTTGTCATAGAAATCTTAGAATACTACCTTGTGAGTGGTATTCTTGGATGGTATTTTCAAAAAAATTTACACACAATAAAATTTCGGAAACATCAGATTCTCGGAAAAATTTTAAAAACGTCGTACCAAAAGTTGGTAAATAAAATTGCTACCTTTAATTTTTCGGAAATCCTAAAAAAACTTTCTACCAAAGGCCCCTAGGGTGTGTTTGGTTGGAAGATTTTGTTGAGATTGATAGGCAAATGAGAAGTGGGAATAGAAGGTAATCATGTTTGGTTGGAAGATTTTGTTGAGATTGATAGGCAAATGAGAAGTGGGAATAGAAGGTAACCATGTTTGGTTGAAGGAGATTCCATACTTACCTACCTAAATCACTATCCTACCAAACCAAGTTGCATAGTCATTTTTGTGGATATAGCCGACGAAAGTTTCCCTTTTGATACGTGGTAATGCTGAAAAGCAACCTATTTGCTTACATTGTTATTTAACCAAAAGATGAGCGTACCCATATTTGAAGCCTACACCTGAATCGTCACCCGCCACTGGACTGCTCACTGGTGTCGCCGCTGGGGATGGAACAGACCCGTATGGAGAAACAGCAGTAGCCGAAGGCGGTGATAAAGATGGAGACTTTAGAGGGGATGGTTGAAGACTCACATTAGATGGTGTTTGAGCCGATGGTGGGGTGGTGGTTGATTTGGGAGAAGGAGCGGGTGCATTGTCTGGTTGTGCTATAACCAAAACCGAAGAAGCGAACTTGTTGCTCT